ACTTTTAATTACCAAGGAATACCTTGTCTTTTTTAAGCCTCATATCCTTTAAAAGAAGACTTATTATTGGTTCAGTCTGTGGCACTGTGGGTTAATGCACTAGACTGCAAAGCTGCTTGAACTGCAGGTCAGCGGTTCAAGCTCACCAGCTGCTCCTCGGAAACCCTATACAGGGTCGCTATGGGTCGGAATCGACTCGATGGCACTTAACAATAACAGCAACAAATTTGTAGAATTTTGCTCACTGTGCTGCCTATGGCTGGCTGTTTTCCTCTGTACGGTAGAGCAGACTCTACAAAATTACAAAGTAAACAGGTCATTTTGTGTTGCTTCTCCTCGCCCAGCAGCTCTCCACCATACGTCAAGTGAACAGAGGCCAGTGGGTTGGAACTTAACTACTGAAAGATTGCTTGTTCTTGTGTTAGTGAGAAGTTCAGCCTGAAGAAATAAAACTTCACCTTATTCATACAGGAAATAACTGTGCCTTGGAAATGTTCAGTTCTTGGTAACTGACAGGGCTTGGCTAGCTTTGTCTGCAGGCCAGTATTCTTACAATACTGTATTCTTACAGTATTCTTATTTTAAGATGCAGATTTAGTTCAGGATTTCAAATAATGAAAGAATACTGTAAGAATTCTTACAGCAACAACAGGAGGTGTGAGAATTTCTGTCATATCCAAAATGGTTGAAACAGTCAGTAATAGAGGGAAAGGCTTTTCTTCCCAAGAATGAAACATCTGTGAACTTGTTGTTGTTAGTGCCATCAAATCGGTTCTGACCCATAGCAACCGTGTGTAGGGTTTCCAAGGAGTGGCTGGTGAGCTTGAACTGCCAACCTTGCAGTTCAAGTGACTTTAGAGTCCAGTGCATTAACCCACAGCACCATACCAGGTCTTAGAGCCTTGTTATATTCATTGAAGACTAGTCACATGTTGCATGTTTTAGAATGGCTTCTCATATGAAATAAATTAGTTCTCTGTATACTTTTCCTTACCTCATAGACCAGATGGTTGTGAGTCCCTTTCACCATGACTGGTAGAGAATTACTACAGTCTTTTATTGCGAAAAACGTCTCAGTGACTCAGTACTTGTGAGTTTATGCCCAGATAATGTGAAAAAATTCAGGCATATGGTAGATTAAAAAGTATGACTTCTTTAAAAATTCTGGTTTACGTATTTTTCAGTTGATAACTCTTTCATTATTTGAAATCCTGAACTAAATCTGCATATTAAAATAATCGTTATCTAGCACTATGGGTTAATGCGCTGGACTGCAAAGTCAGTTTGACCTACAAGGTCAGCAGTTCAGTCTCACCAGTCGCTCTTCGAAAAACTTATACAGTGTCCCTGTGGGTTGGAATCAACTCAATGGCACTTAACAATAATAACAACAACATCCCACTTTGAGGACATTGGTGATTCAGTGTTAGAATTCATGTGAGTGACTTGGATTCAAATCTCAGCCATTCTACTTCACACACTGCCTCTACCCATCGGTCAGTAGATGTTTATATGTTGTCATGATGCTGATACAGGACAGCAGAGCTTCCAGACTAAGAAGAAAGACCTGGCTGTCTTAATTCTGAATGGAAACTCTGGATCACAACAGGCCAGTCCACAGCCAACCACAGGGATGGTACCTGACCAGACAATGCTTGTTCTGTTGGGCACGGGGCCACCATAAGTCAATGACTGACTCAGTGACAGCCACCAACAACATAGCTTCTTTCAAAAGACAAACTGAAAGTGACTTGGAAGGCTCTTTGTTTTATTTAATTGATAAAACACTAACTTTTCACCTTCTGTTTGTAAGTCAGGTTTTTAAAACTAGTGGATACAAAGAAATATACACAGAAATTTGTTTCCTTTTTTTTTTTAATGAGTTTATAATGGAGTTGAGGCGAAACTATTGCGGGACATTGTTAAATAGAAAACAAATTATATAGGCAAAGGGACTATTGATATGAAAAGTAGCAAGGGAACCCTTGAGGCTGGGATGGTCAGTGAAAACTTGGAGAAGAAAATGGACCATGTATAAGCCTTGGGAAAGAGGACACCTCTGACGAGTAATGGAGAAGGAACCATTTCATTGGTTGAAGGTCATAGAAGTGTAGGGACTGGTAACAGCATGCTCAAGGGCCAATGAGCAGATAAGCATAGTATTTTAGGGCACAGACTTGGGAGCCTGACTGCCTGGGTTCAAGCCATAAGGAGGTCTCTTAATTTCTCTTTGCTTCAGATTCCCCACTAAAAAAAAACCAATACAAACAACTGCCGTCTAAACAATTCCAACTCATAATAGCCGTATAGGGTAGATAGAGTAGAACGGTTCCTTAAGACTTCTAAGACTTTAAGTCTTTATGGGAACAGACAACCTCATCTTTCTCCTGTTAGTGGTTTTACTTTGCCTTGTGGTTAGCAGCCCAATGCTTAACCCACTGTGCCACCAGGACTCCTTTATGGAATTAAAATGAGGCAGTAGTTGTAGTGAAAGCATTGGGTCATTTTAAGAACTTGAGGATAGCACCTTCAAGTAGTGATTAATCACTTCAAATAGTGATTCAATAAAGTATTAAATCAGTATAAACTAGTATGATGATGATGACAGTGATTAGGGGATCATGAAAGACTAGTTTGTAAAGAAGATTGGAGGGAATGTACTGAGGGACTGCATGTAGTATGTAGTAAGGTTTGTAGACGACTTAAAAGTAGGGGAATACGATCAGAGTAATGTTTTTAGAAAACTAATTTAGCAGAGTGGGTTGAAGAAGAGACTGGCAACAGAGAGACTGATTAAAAGGCTGTTGTAATAGTACAGACTTGAGGCTTGAGGGGTTGAAATCCAGAACTAAAATGACAGAGGGTACGTTTGGAGTTAGAAAAAGGGACAGATCTGAGAAACTTTTACTATGAAATACCTGCTAGGGCCCGGTGATTAACCATCAGGGTCATGGCAGGCAGAGTACTGTGCCTGGGTACGTGGGAGAATTCAAGCACACAGGAGCTTGTAGAAATAGGCCATAATTCGTGTAAAAGAGGAGTTAGAGTTTAGATGCTTGGAGTTTAAAGGCAATGGGAGGATTTGACATTGAAAATGTCCTTGAAAATCCATAGCTGGTCCTCCAAGAGAAATCAGGTCTGAGTGTAGAAACTGAGGACTCATACAGATGAGTTGCCTTGTAACTAAATGATGAGCGTGTACAAAGTAAGTCTTACAGTATTTTTCAGTCCTTTTTCTATAAGAGGAAGCACAAGAGATGGGAAACATTGTTTCTAGTCTTGGTGACTCACTTGAAGCATGGGCAATAAATAGTAGTGCTCCCTGGCCTATAAAGTGACATTTCACACATGGAGTGCCAGTCAGAACACTTGAGGAGATGTGCTGAACATTTTTAAATGCTTGGGTTTCTAGATTGGTAATTGTACACTGTGACAAACAGGCATTATTCTGGTGGAGAATTGTATTGTCAGTGATCCTAATTAATCTTACCCAGTTCTAACCACACCTCTAATATGAATACTGCCAGCACTTTTATTCACATAGATAACTGTCAAATTGTGTGATTTGTATGCTTTGCTTAAAGCTATTCCTTTTCAATCTTTTTTTACATGTGCCCTTTCTCTTCCATTAGATTTTCACTTCCTGTATCAAAGGAGCAGTCATCTTGTTCTGAACCACTCACACAGTTTTCATATTCCACTCATTCATTCATTGATTCCAGTTTATTCATTCCAGACACTGTATTAATTGCTAGCATGATGAATCAGTCAGAGTTCCTGTCTTCATGGAGTTGACTATTTAGTTGGGGAAGAAAAGGTACAGAAATATGTAACAGAAGCAGTAATAAAGACGTTCACAGAAAATATGGGGAACATTGAAAAGAAATACTCCAGATTATGTGGATGTGGCACTGAGGAACAGGTAGTTTAGGGAAGAGTTTTGGACTTAGGGCTGAACCTCGATAAGAAGTGATCATCAGATAATTAGGAAGAAGGGTTAGAAAATGGTACTGCTGATCATGAAATATGTAGACCCAATCACAAGGAGAAAAATGATAGTTTTTTTTAGCATAAAGTGAAAGAGGAAATGGTGAAAATTGGGGTTGTGGGAGCCCGGAACAGATCATTAAAAGGACTTGTTTGCCGTGCTTAGAAACATGGACTACATTCAGTGGTCAGAGAAAAGGGAAACGGTTGAAGTACTTTAAACCGAGTTGTGATTGACTATGGGGAGGAGAGGATTAAAGGGTAACAAGACATTTGAGAAACAATGAGACCCTGAACCAGGACATATCAACAATAGAGGAGTGGGCAAATTCAAGAACCACTAGTGATACAAAATCAGCATGACCTAGTATTTCCAAAGAGGATGATGAGGGAGAGGATTGATGGTGATACTTAAGTGCTTTAGGATAAGCACTGGACTGCTAACCACAAGGTTGACGGTTCAAACCTACTAGCTGTTCCTCGGAAGTAGAGCAAACTAAGTAGGGTTGCTATGAGTCGAAACCAACTTGACGACAATTAACAACTACAACAACAATTTAGAGAATACAGGAGGAGAAAGAATATAATCTGTTCAGTTTTGTTTTCTTCAGCAAACAGATATTTCAATGTGTGTATAATATATTTGCAGTTATAACTCAATGCTTAACAGAGATGTCTACCAATCTCCTCTTGGAAGCAGAGGTAACTTTCTGCTTTTCTTACAACACCCTAAGTGTCGTTCTTAAGTGCTATTGAGTCAGTTTTGACTAATAGAAACCCTGTATAGGATTTCCTAGGCTTTAACTATACATCCATACTTCTTTTCACCCGCTTAAAAATCCTTGACTTTCTTTTCTATTCATCTCTGTAGCCTCAGCCCAGTGTTTGATATGTAAGCTTGCCCATAAATATAAGCAAGTGAGTTACTGATTATTAGAAAACTTATTATTTGATTATTAGAAAAAGCTTATATTTAACTTATTCTCCTAATTCTTCTGTATTTAAACTCCTAGCACCTTTCACTGGAAGAATCTCAAACAGTGTGGCTTCCTCGGGAGCAGGGGCACCAGCCAACTCAACTGTGGGGCAACCCCAGCCAAGTGACCAGGATACTTTGGTGCAAAGAGCTGAGCACATTCCAGCTGGGAAACGAACACCAATGTGTGCCCACTGTAACCAAGTCATCAGGTAGGTTTATTGTTTTTTAAACCTGAACGTACTTAAAACAAGTGTTGACCTTTCTTATATTCTGAAAGATTTGAACTTTTATTAGTGAAAATATTCTTGCTATGTTTATTATTGTTATTAAGTGCCATTGAGTAAGTTCTGACTCATAGCAACCCTGTATAGGGTTTCCGAGGAGTGGCTGGTGGGTTTGAACAGCTAACTTTATGGTTAGCGGTCTAGTGTTGATCCTGCAATGCCACACCTCATAATAAGGGTGACATATAAATATGTTTGCATTACTTATATGAGGATTCCTTTTATGGCGTTGTAGGATCAGCACTGGACCGCAAACCACAAGGTCAGCATTTCTAAACCACCAAGCTACTCCTTAGATACCTTATACAGGGCTGCTATGAGTTGGAATAGACTCAACGGCACTTAACAACAGAAACAACATATTTATATGAATGAGCACTGGGTAGCATAGTGGATAATATGAGCTGGTCTGTTAACCACAAGGTTAGCAGTTTGAATCTGCCAGTCACTGTGTGGGAGAAAGATGAGGGTTTCTGCTCCCATATTGATTTGGAGTCCTAGTTTGGTGCTGTAAGATAAGCACTAGACCACAAGGTTGGCGATTAAAATTCACCTATACAGGGTTGTAGTGCGTCAGAACCAACTCGACAGCACTTAACAACAACATATTTATATGTCATCCTTATTATTAAAGTAATGTAAATATGAATATTACTGTTAAAATCTATTTAAAACTTGAAAGGACCTTAAAGATCTGTTTTAGAGAAAAGAAGATTGGATTTTCAAATACCTAGTAGACGCTGGACAAGGACAGGACAGCACAGGAGTTCATCGTGCTACTCAGGACAATGCACAGATGTTACCTTTGAATGGTTTATTTCTGGAGTTTTTCATTTAATGTTTTCTAACAGCAAAGTCAGTTTAAACCACAAGGACAGTGGTTCAAACTCACCAGCCACTCCTTGGAAACCCCTGTAAAGGTTGGATCCAACTCAGCGGTACTTAACAACAACAGCAATTGACCACGAGTAAATGAAACTGCAGAATGAAATGAAACTGTGAAACCACAGATAAATGGGCCACTGCTATACATGTATGGCACTGTAGGACAAGCACTGGACTGTTAACAGCAAGGTTAGCAGTTCAAACCCAGAAGCTGCTCTTTGAAAGCCCTATAGCATTGAGTCAGAACCGAGTCCATTGCACTTAACAATCACAATATCACTGTGCTGTGGCTTTGTAGGATAAGCACTGGACTGCTGGCCACAAGGTCAGCAGTTCCATCCCAGCAGCTACTCCATGGGAAAACAATGAGACTTTCTGCTCCCCAAAAGCTTTACAGCCTCAGAAACACTATGAGTCAGAACCCACGTAATGGCACTTTAACAACAACAACTGTACAGGTAGAAGTATAATTGCAGGGATCTCACCTAAAAGCTCTTGTTACCTATGTGTAATGAGTTGCCTTGTTGCTAGTAACAAATGGTTACTCAAGCTCTCTTCTGTATTTTATTTATTCTGTTTTGAAATAACTGAAAAAGTGGCTATTTTAAAGGTGACTAAAGAGTCCTGTATGGCACTGCATGATAATGAGCTGTATGACAAGGTCAGTGTGAGCTACAAGATCGGCGGTTAAAACCCCACCAGCTGCTCCTCAGAAACCCTATACAGAGTCACTATGAGTCGAAACCAACTTGATGGCACTTAGCAACAACAAATGTTAAGAATTTCGGTTTTTTCTTTAGCCTCTTTTACATAATTATTGTTTAGGATGGTATTTTTGGGTAATATCAGAATGGAAATCAAGAAGCTTCAATACTTTACTCAAGTGCCAGGTATACCAGGGTAAGTCAAACAACAGTGCTTACTGAGGTTCCAGGTCATATACGCTTGTACAGCTTCATTCCAAAATATGTTTACATGTCTTTGAGATCAGTGGATGGCTACAGACAAGTTCTCTCAGTAATATACTGGTGGTCGTGTCATTAGGGTGCCTACAAAAACCAGTGGCTTCTGATGGGATCTGCTGGGCAAATTAAATTCAAGACAGAGAAATCAGTTCAGAAGGTTATTTATGGTGACTGTTTTTTGCAAGCGACACAGGACAGTCCTGGCAGCTTATTATGAAGAAGCTTGAAGAAAATTGAAAACTGCATTGTTGAGAAAAAGACCAGAAAAGTTGCAGTGAGAATTTTTTTTTTTTTTCCTATTCCAACAATACTCCTCATTCATAAATGGTTGAAAGGGCTGTCCCACAAGAATTTCATTGGGAAATCTCACCATATCCACCCTACAGCCCTAATCTTGCCCCTTCAGACTTCTTTTTGTTCCCAAACTCAAAGGACCCTTAAGTCTCTGAAGGATGTTTTGACAATGGTATAAATGGAAGAGTGCCGAATTCTTCGGGAAAGTGTTAGAGAGAGGAAAACACTGCCTTCAGAAGTGTACCAACATACATGAAAGATACATCAAGAAATCATAGGGTTCATAGTTTAATAAATGTTTCTATAGTTTTGTAGCAATACTTTTGACTTACTCGCATACATATTCCTCTCGTAAAGCTATTAATTAAAGAATAGTGGTGAACATAGAGTAGCCTTTTTATTTTAAACGTGCTCCATGCTCGTAGCGTAGTGGCTACGAATCGGGCTGCAAACCTTAAGGTCAGCGGTTCGAAACTACCAGCCGCTCCGCGGGAGAAAGATGAGGCTTTCTACTCCCGTAAAGATTTACACCCTCGGAAACCCTGTACAGGGTCGCTATGGGTCAGAACCGACTCGACGGCACTTAACAACAACAACAATGCTCATCATTTGTTGTTGTTGTTGTGTTGTCAAGTCAGTTCCGACACATAGTGACCCTGAATAGGGTTTTCGGGAAGCACGGGTGAACTTGAACCATCAACCTTCAGGTTGAAACTATTTTGCAGTCAGATGCATTAACCCACAATAATATTGCAAAAATATTTAAAAATAGAAAGCAAAAACAATTCAGGTGTAATCCTACCTTCCAGAAGAACTGCTTATAGTATTTTGGGTCATACTTTTAAAAACACACAGCCTAAAGACAGCTCTAGTTTCAATAAATGGAATTATATACCCACAATGATTTGTAGCCTGTCATTTTCACTTGTTGTTGTTGTTGTTAAGTACCGTGGAGTCGGTTCCAACTCATAGTGACCCTGCACAGGGTTTCCAAGACTGTAAATCTTTATGGGAGCAGAATGCCTCATCTTTTTCCCGTGGAACCGCTAGTAGTTTCGAACTGCTGACCTTGCGGTTCGCAGCCCGACTCGTAACCACTACGCTACCAGAGGTCCTTGTCATTTTCACGTAATAATTGGTAAATATTGATCCAGTTAGTTTTGTAAGACTATGTAATAAAACATTATAGATATGTGCCATAAGCTATTTATTAAGTATTCTGTTCATGGAACTTGAGGTACTTCCAATTCTTAAATACTACAAGCAATGGTTTAAGGAGCTCTGGTAGTGTAGTGGTTACGAATCGGGCTGCAAGCCTCAATGTCAGCAGTTCGAAACTACCAGCTGTTCCGTGGGAGAAAGATGAGGCATTCTGCTCCCGTAAAGATTTATAGCCTCGGAAAGCCTGTGTAGGGTCACTGTGAGTCGGAACCAACTCTACGGCACATAACCACCACCGCAAGTAATGATTTACAAATCATTCATGTAATTAGGAGAGAGGAATCCTAGAAGTACCATTAAAGGTTTGTAGCCTCATAGAAATATTAAAACTATTATAAAATTAGATACTGTTTTACCTCAATAAAGAAAGCAGTGTTGTCTTTAATTATGGAGTCCTGGTGTGGTGCTGTGGGTTAATGTGCTACACTGCAAAGTCCTTTGAGCTGCAAGGTCGGTGGTTCAAGCTTACCAGCTGCTCCTTGGAAACCCTATACAGGGTTGCTATGGGTCATAACCGACTTGACGGCAATTAACAACAACAACAACATGTAATTCTATTCTGAGGAAAAATTACTAGAAACAGAATTATGTGTCATTGTCCCTAGGATGTACTTGGTTTAGTTTTTTATTTTTATCATCTTTTGTATGTCAAAGAATTGCAATGACTTCTACACCCAACAGATTCATGCATGACTGCATGGACACTCATGGTTCAGACATCTGATATCAATTTGCCTAGTCATTTTCCTAAAAGTACCATTAAAGGTTTACAGTCTCATAGAAATATTAAAACTAGTATAAAATTAGTGAGGTGCTGTTGTAGCTCAATAAAGAAAGCAGTGTTGTTTTTTTAAATTAATACCTGCGTTAAGTTGCTGTAGTTTTAGACTTAAACGTTGTTGTTAAGTGCTGTCGAGACGGTTCCAACTCATAGCACTCTTTATAGGGTTTCCGAGGAGCAGCTGGAGGGTTTGAACAGCCATATGAATAAAATAAAAATCTGATTAGCAACGTTGTTTTCTATCATTTATGATACTTTGGTTGTTTAAGCTTATGTTTAGGTGTAGTATATTCTGGATAAAAAATACCCTTTATGTAGAAAGGAGTCACTGAAGTTATTCAGGTATTGTTTTAATTAAGTAATCATAAATTATATGGGTTAACAAAATGTCATGCCATGTTAATTGCTGAGTCTGTTGTCTGGTTATCAAATTCTGTGATCTACTGATCACTAATAGCATTTCTGAAAAACTTAAGCTCGAGAAAATATATAAGATCAAAATAGAAATTACATTCCTCACCCCAGTCTGCGTTGATTTCAAATGTAATGCTAGCCCGTGATCCAATTTTATTGCATAATCCAATATGAAATAAGTATGCAATATGTTAATAACATGAATGGTCACTACTTATTGTCATTGCTCTGTATAATTCCAGCAGTTGTTATCAGTTAAGCATCAAAGGTTCATTTACTAGGAAAGTTAATAGGAACAGAGATTAGTTCATGTCAAGATCATGTAACAGTAATTATCATAGCACATTTGCTTGGTGCTCAAATGC